GTAACTTTATTGTTTGGGCAAGATTAAATAGTGTATTAAGTCTGCCATTTATTCACCGAATCGAAATATGGCGTCCAATTTGAATTACCATTGTTTTTGACTTACTACCCTCGTCTTGATGTGGAAACACAAAAGGATTATCACATGTGTGAGAGGCTAGTCAGTCCAGAACAATGGCAATTCAAAAGAAACACCATATTTTGATTCGGTGTATAAGTAGTGTTTTCATAGTAAGGCTGGTATGAATTCTTTAAAGTAATTTTTTCTGATTTCTCATAACATTTGCCGACAGCACCTGATAATCATAATCCATGAGACCACAATACACAAATATGATTTTCAGATATTCAAATTCATTGATTAATCCATGATATATTAACATTTGCTGGTCAAAGTTCAGGGCTGACTGATTTATTACTAGTTAAACCCTCTAACCCCCAAGATCTCATTGTTAATTCTCCCCTCTCATTAGAATACATTTCCCTGTTGAATTAGCATGGAGAATTTGGTGTTAGATCAAGATAACAACTTCTAGCTCTACCTGATAAGTTTGAGTATTCTCACTACCTGTTTCCTGGGTAATATATGGATATTATAGGGAGAAGTTACATGTTAATCGCTTCTGGGAGTTGATGTTGTTGATAGCAACATTTTAACTATAGCTTTACTTTACTTCAGATATATGTTGAGATTGAGAGGGCTCGTCTGACAAGGATGCTTGCTAAAATAAAAGAAGACCAGGGAGATATTGCAGGTAAATTTTTATTTTACCCAATTCACTTTCGAACCTTATGTCAACGGTTGCCATGTACACCTGTGCCATAGTATGTCTCTTTTCTTCATTTGTTCCAGTAGTAATAATTAGTGATCTGTGGATTTGTCAAATAGAGGGTCACCATCGGCATAAATAATTGTTCCATTCTATTTCCTTTTAATGCATAGAGGCAGCAAACATCCTTCAAGAGCTTCAGGTATGATATTGGGGAACAAAATTATACATTGAGAACCAGTGATGAAGCAGTGGGGTGTGGGGGGCATACTTTTCTGGAAAAAATTAATTTGAAATTTGAAATTTGAAACTCTCTGAGACCTGATTTCTAGCTTTCTGAGTAACCTTTTTTAGCTATACATTGATGCTAGATATATCAATTTAAAAATGCATATATCTGTCTCTGATCACTGTTCACTAAGTAGGCAGCACAAAATGGTTCAACAGCTTGTGAGTATCTGCCACCTACCGGCTTGTAATGACAACCTTACTGATTTGAATTACCATCGTATGTAGGGTGCAAGATTGTAGACAATCAAAAGAAATCAAGTGGATAGAGATCAAACTTTTTAAGTAAATCATACCATTTGTTTTAATGGTCAATTATTGGGCAAGATTGATCAAAACACACTTGTGGATATGAAAAATTTCCTGATTTCTGGTTGAAGATTTTGATGGATTGGCAAACATGCCTCTTACCTGGATACAGACTGTTCAGGAATCTCCTCAGAATGCCACCTTGATGGAAAGATCTTTGTTTCAGTAATTTTAATTTATGTTTTTAACTTGCAGGTGGAGACATATGGGTCTATGGAAAAGCGGGAAAAGGTGGAATTCATCTTGGAGCAAATGAGATTGTGTTTGGCAAAGAAGGACTACATTAGAACACAGATCATCAGTAAAAAGATCAGCCCAAAGTTTTTTGAAAATAATCAGGAGCAGGATCTGAAGCTGAAGTTCTACCAGCTAATGATCGAGGTGGCACGACATGAGGGAAGCTACCTAGATATCTGTAAATACTACAGAGCCATGTTTGATACACAGTCTGTCTTAGAGGACAAAGAAAAGAAGCATGAGGTGAGCAGAGAAGAAGTTAAGAGGGAGGCTTATTTATCATTTTTATTTAAAAAAAAAAGGCTACCTTGATCAGAAGGATGATCACTAACAGAAGAGAAATGTACAGAGAAATCATTTTACAGGGTTGAACAAATTTACCATAGCGCCTCAATCATTGATTTTGAAAATACAGACTAAGGAACACCAATGGGAGAAACCACGACCTACTTGTAGAATATGAACAGATAAATTGTTTTTGTGTGTTTCGCAGGTGTTGAGAAATGTGGTGCTGTTTCTTGTTCTTTCACCTTATGATAATGAACAATCAGATCTCATTCACCGCGTTGGGGAAGAGAAAACTCTGGAGGAGATCCCACTTTACAGGTACATCATGTTATGTGTAATCTGAAAAAGTTTAAACTATCCAAATCTTAGTTGTTAAATCCACATTTATAATTTATTCACATACCTACTTGGTTTTGATAAACTAAGTTTGAATTTAAATGCACAGGGGCACAAGAACCCAAGATATAGGCAGATCTCTTCAGGTGCAAGTCATATATCCATATTATTTTCTGGAACATTTGGTCATTTCAATTGCATTGAATTTGTGTTTGTTTTGGTGATGAAAAACCTTCCAACCTTCAACTTGAGAAATGGGGAGGTTTCTTTGCTACAGCTGTACATTCATTTCACTGTATTTTTACAACTGATATATGATTTGGTTTGTGTATGATGAATCTTTTAGAGATCTCCTAAAATGCTTCACCACAGCTGAACTTATGCGTTGGTCTCACATAAAAGAGGTTTATGAAGCTGAACTAAAGACAGGTCCATCTGCAACTGGTGTGTTTGAGGAACAAACAGATGAAGGCAAAAAGCGCTGGGAAGACTTACAAAAACGGGTCGTTGAACATGTGGGTTTGATTGATGTTTTCATTTCAATGTTATTTTGTTATGAATTTCACTTGATGCTTGTTAGTTAGATTGTGTTACTCAAAACATTTTTTCATGCTCGTTTTCAATTTCTTATTCTCCATACAGCCAGCACATGTAACTGTTTGCTTTGAAGAACACTCACATCTGTTTAAAACCCTTGAATGATGTCTCTTTGCCATGCATATTAAAAACCTTTTACTTCCAAGATCTGATTGTTAATTCTCCCCTATAGCTGCTACACATTTCCCTCTAAATTAGATAGGAGAATTTGGTGTTAGATGAAGATAACTTTTACCTGATAAGTTTGAGTATTCTCATTACCTGTTTGCTGGATAATGTGTGGATATTAAATGGAGAAGTTACTCATGAATCACTTCTGGGAATTTAAAGGTTGAGATTGTTTTTTTTTTTTTTTTCGGAACAGAATATCCGAGTCATGGCCAAGTACTACACCAGAATAACACTGAGAAGAATGAGCCAGTTGCTGGACTTAACTGTTGATGTAAGTTTAAGTTGTAGATGTTATAAAATAAATGGAGGATTTTTCTCAGAAGAAGCGTAAAATTTTCATTTTGTCATCTGTTGAGGCCAATCCTCTCAGAGCTGAATCCTCTGGTATAACTCCAGTGAAACAGTAACTGATGCAGATCTTCGAAGCTTGTGTTAAAAATGTTTGAGGAAATAAATCTGACAAAATGAATCGTGATGAGTTAAATCAATTCTGAACGAGGACTTTTAGTCTCAAAATCTGGAATTTCAGTCGTACAATGCTATATACGAGGCAATAGACTTCTATATCCATCTATAGGTTTTTTGTTTATTCTTTGAAGTGTATAGAATTGGAACGGCAGGGAAAAGAACAATTTAGTGTCACTATTACCTGAGCTAACCCAATCTTTTTTTCATCCCGTTTCAGGAGACTGAATTGTTCCTCTCAGAGCTAGTGGTGTCCAAAACAGTTTTTGCCAGAATTGACCGCCCTGCAGGAATTGTTACTTTCAGTGCTCATAAGGAATCTAATGAGATTCTCAATGAATGGTCTCATAATCTTAACACTCTGATGCAGCTTCTAAATCGCACAACTCATCTCATCACCAAGGAAGAAATGGTTCACAAACTTGTACAAATGTAACTTATTTTGTGTTTGGCTGAGACTATGTCCGTTACAATTTCAATTTTATAGAGTCCAATGATAGTTGTTTTGTGCTAGTCAATAAAAAATCCCTTTACCACTTCATTCGTTGGGCAATTAACTAAAACAACTCATTGACGACGTCGACACGACGTTGAATTTCTAAACGGAACGAGACCCAATCGTTACCGAAAATGCAAAACAGGTAAATCGCCGCTCATGTTTTGGTAATAATAATAATAATAATAATAATAATAATAGTAATAATAATAATAATAATAATAATAATAATAATCATCATCATCATCATCATCTTTATTCACCATAATCACTAAAAGTATATACAAAAATTATGATAAAAATTATTTACAATTTTAAACCATATATCTAATTATTTACAATTATTTTTTAAAATGATTAATATTAATGTTCATGATAGAGGACTGATTACAATAGATGAGAAAAGAAAAAATTTAGCATTACTAAATAGGAAAAACTATTAAAATAATAAAGACCTAAAATTATGAGTGCAGATGTAGACCAGCTACAGCGAGGGTGAAGTCTTCTGCGACCTCGCGTATTTAAACAGGACTTTAGAACCTCTTACGCATCTGTGTACAGTTCTTAATATGGCAATTGAAAGTTGTATTCGTAGCCAGGAAATGACGCTGGCATAGGGTTCATTATTCTTGTTCGAAAGCTTATTTGCGAGGGTTCTTAAAAAGTTCTGACAGTCAAGTCCCGTGCCTCCGTTTGTACCAAACACCAACAGTGTAATGTTTTGGACAAAATTATTTGAAATGTTCGCTTCGGGTATCCTTAAAACTCTTTTTTTTTTGGCCCTTCTGTCCCGCATTCTACTTTTTTTTTAGGGGGGGGGGGGTTCTCGATGAACGTACCATAGCCACGATATCAGACACGGAAATGATCATTAAAGATGAAAACTGCTTTGTTTTGGCAGTTAGTATACTTGTTTATCTGTTTGCTAGGTTGTTAGTTTTTGTGTGTTGTTGACAATTTTGGAGCGCTCTATGATGTTTACACCACAGTAATACTTTTGAAACAGGACAACTGACCAAGAACGAAGTGCATTAATAAGGCGATTTCACCAGGAAGTGGGAGGAAATGGAATGAGTTTACATTAAATTCAAGTTCATCATGAAGGGAAATGTGGCTTTTTATTTGGGAGTGTTATTTTCCAAACTTTCCAGAGCATAGCATAAATTTTGGCGCAGTAACATTAATATTTCTGCGTCAAAATGCACGAAAATGCAAGCAAGTAGAATGAACTTGAAAGACCTCAGAGAGGTTTCACGTCACAGACTAACCGTACGATCAAGGTAAGCAGTCTTTCGATATGTCTCTAAGGATAAGGTTGCAAAAGCCTTCACATTTAAGAGGGCATGAAGTATCAGAAACTTCAGAAAGAATCAGAAAAGTTTTGATTTGAACAGAGTTTTGTATATAATTTTTCCCATCTCTGTAAACATAACCTGTACTTGAAAGAGACTTCGGATATGTCAGGCATATGAAGTTTGTGTAAAGAGGGTAAGTTTCTAAAGAAACTGTGGTGCTGCATC